GCTTTGCCGCTGAGCTAAATCCCCAGCCCTCTCCTACTCCTTTCTTTGGGAAGGGAATGACCAGGCCTGAATTCAGGCATGGTGTGTGTGGCTCACTGGGGAGCATGGAAACCACAACCAGGAAGTAGTCACCAAATGCTCTGTGCCAAGATATACCAACTCTGACCAGTAGGAGGCTCCCAAGGTCACTGTGAAGCTGAGATTGCAAGGTTGGCCCCTCTTTACCGCTCTCTCTGAGACTTTAGTCTCCACCATCTCGGCAGGTTGTGTAAGTAACCCAAGTAGTCTTTTGCGCCAGTACTTGTCATATGGCTGGAATTCCTCTTCCTACTGACACTGCATACCCAGGGACCCCTCAACAGTGTGAGTCACAGCAGTGTCCACAGCATGGGATACCGAGAAAAAAACAGTCTGGAAAATACATGCCCCAGTTCTAGGCCCTCACAGATGGGCAAGGTCAGGGTCTCCCTGGGTCAAATCTTCAGGGTTTTGGGATCTTGAAGAGGCAGCCGGGGAGACAGGCCTTGTCAGATCCGGGAGTTGAGCCTGAGGGGTGAGTGAGCATGAGCATGTGTTGGACAGTGACGTTATTTGGAGCATACGGTTATGCTAATGTCTGTCACAGGTGTCGCTCTCTCTTAGCGCTGACTCTATCCAGGGCCTTATCCAACTTTGCACTGCAGCCTGGAGGCTCCCTGTGAGACAGGTACTGGCTGCTCCTGGCCAACTCTCTACTTCCTGCCCACTCTCCTCTCCCTACCTCCTCTATCAGCCACTCCTCTCACTGTCCTGTCCTCTCCCACTAAGGACAGAGTTTCCCCTGTACCAGGCTAGCCCTGGTCATCTGGACCTGCAGGAGGAGTCGTGCTGAAGGCAGCCATGCAGTCGTGTCACTTGTGGTCATTTCTCCAGCACAGATGTCACTTACCCCAACACTGGGTCCAAGAGGAGACAGAATACAGACTAACGCCCATATTCCCATTTCTGCTTCTCTGCCCTGCTGTGCTTCTTGGTCCACCGAATCTTATATGATCTTTGAGCTGTGCAGGGCACAGGAAGTCCAGGAAGAGACTTTTCCTGAGCTGGTGGGACATGCCCAGGTATCAGTGCTACTGGCTCCTCTCACTCCCAGTGACTGGGAATGTACATGGCCTGTGGGCTGGGGTCTGTCCCCTTCCCACAGCTGCTGGACTCACAGTCATACACATACCTGCACAGCAGAACCTAGTTGGGGCATGTTCTTGGTGGTGGGACCTCCCCCCTCCGAGATATATCACTTCCTTATTGTCAGGATGGACTGTCCTGGGAATGAGGGCCAAAGCTTCCCATTTTCTCTAGCTCTAACAGTGACTACAGAGTGACCGTATCCTACCAACCTCAGTTTAGGCTCCAACAGAGTGTTCCAACTCCTGACATCCCCATTTCTTCCTCTGGCTTCACATAACTCAGCAAGCTGTCACTATGGGTTCTGGCATTTTCACAGTTGTGGGGGACCACCTACGTGACTCTCCTTAAAAGGGTTGCCTCAGTTTTGGCTGAGCCTAACCGTATTTCCATGTATGAGCTGGCTGGGACTTTCCTTATCCCTTCAGTTGGCTTTAAGCAATGCATATCGGTCTAGCTGAGGTGCTGGTGGTAATCTTTGGAGATGGCAGGCGTGTTTCCCTGACCCTCTGCTCATGGCACTCACGCATTTCCCTCCACTCTCATGGTCACTCAGCCTTAAGCCACTCCCTTCTTCACAAATGAATAAAATCTGGGTTCAGTCCTGGGTATAGGCCTTTGTTCCAGATAATCATCATCATGGCTGGACTTAGGACCCCTTGGCTCCCCATAGCTATAAATATGTCTTAGTGTCTTTATTCTCACCATGGGTTGCACGAGATATGGTAACTTCGAATTGACTTGCTACAATTCTGCTAACTTTTCATGGAATTACAAATATAAACTTCCTGGGCTGTGAGGAGGACTGGGAAGGGCTCTCTATACACAGTGTCCCATCTTGGTGCCGAATCCTCAGTCAGAGTACTTATCCCAGATCTAGGTGTGGAGGAGTGATCACAGCACCTTGAGACCCTCACGATCCTGTCTTGTCTTCTTGTCAAGTTCCACCTCCCACTGAGAGTTGGGGACAGAGAACTAAGAGTAGACACACTTCAGAAGTGTGAAGGGCTGAAACAAGGAAATGGGGACAAAATATTGTTGTCCTTTGTGCCATATTTCCTAGAAGATTGATGAGGGCATGTCAAGGGCCAGAAGCTACTCACTCTTTCCAGAGTTAATCATGACTTGTCAAGCTCACTGTTGCTTACAAATTACACTATTGGAAGGGTCTGATAATAGTCATCTCCACTCCTGCACCAATCACCACTTCCTGGTTCTATTTTATACCATACACTCTTTCTCTTTTCTGTGTTTCATCTTATATGTGTGCATGTATTTTTGCATTTGTTAATTGTTTCTGGCCGTGAACTCCATGAAAACAGAGCCCCTTATTGTTTATTTGCTGCTGAACTTCAATCGATCATTGTCCAGTGCATGGTACATGCTCAGCAAATACTTGCTGAATGGAAACACTGGGTAAAGATTCCCAGTTCCATGTTTATAGCAGCACAATTCATAATAGCTAAATCTTGGACGCAGCCTATCTGTCCATCAACAAATGAATGGATAGCAAAATGTGGTATTTGTACACAATGGAGTACTACTTTGTCATAAAGAAGAATAAACTTGGGTCATTTGTGGGAAAATAAACACACCTTGAAGCCACAATGTTAAGTGAAATAAATCAGGCACACAAGGTAAATAGTGTGTGGTTCAGACACATAACCTAAATATCACACAGTTTCTCTTATATGAGAAACCCAAAACATAAATTTGCAGAAGGAAAGTGCTAGATCTTTTGCAAGAGATGGAGGGAGTAGGGAGGGAGAAGGGGAGGGAGGTTAAAAAAAATTAAGATGTGCTATATGCATATACGGACTCCCCATAAAGAATGTAATCATGTACTGCAAACATGTACTAATAAAAATTAAAATAAAATAATAAATTAAAAAAAGGTTGTCAGTCCTGGGCCTCCTTCAGACTACTTTGGAGAATGGTGGTAGATTAGGTTTACCATCTAACATCTCTACAATGTCCCAACTTGTGCAGGTGCAGGTGACATCTGTGCTGGTTGAGTGGTGAGGATCACATGGTGTTTAATGTTGGCAAATTCATCATAGTGTCCTTGGACCAACATTTCCTTTATCCACACAAACAGATATGGTCTACTCTCATGAACAAAGACTCAATCACCTAATAAAATGTTGCATCTTACCATTAACTTCCAAGCAGGTCCAAGAACCCATAGTTCTGGATGAAGAAGATGTGAGGTCCCTTGAGGAAGAAACAGTGAAGGACCTTGCTATGCCACTGAGAATTTATAATACTGATTTTCTGTCATCCTTTTCCGGTGAAGCCTAAAGACATTTTTCAGGGTGATTCTGAATGAGGAATGGAATGATCAGATGTCAAAACAATTCTGGAAAGTGTCCTGGGGTAATGAATTAATATTGTCCTTTAGTTATTGTGGACTGATCAGGCCCACAATCTCCCAAATGAGTGTGAGGTAAAGGTTTAAATAAAAGAGTCAAGTGGTATTATTTTAGGGCTCCAGGAAGGTCAAAACCCTCTAGCAGAATTCAGGATTCTCTGGGGGTTGAGACAAAGATCTTCTCTGGGCAGCCATATTTATTTAGTTATCAAACAAAGAAGGGCAATACTGAAGACAGGCTGGGAACTGCACAAGGACTTCTCCAAGTAAGAGATTATGTTAATTTAGCAGAACTATGTTATCTTCAGGAAGATCTCCACTCAGGAGTGAGATGCCTGCTGTTACAGTCTTTATCTAGTTAATTGAGGTTGGAGCCAGGTGTCCTTAGCTGTGGCCTTGTCCTGTTCTTTGAAATGTCCAGGCTTCACCCTCCATTACAGGCCTTAGCTGGGAACAGTGACTCATGAGGTTCACTTACTATGAGTCTGCTGCCCACCTCCAGACAAGGGGACTAGGCCTTGGACAGACTCAACTAAACATGAAAAGCCAAATTGTTAATTTAAATCTTGCTCAGAGCTGCTCCATAGTGGTCTCCATCTCTAGGTCCCAACCTTAGGGACCCAATATGGAACTTTGGTCCATGAGTCTGAGGAGATCAACGAACATTATAGTTGATTCAGGTCTGAGAGAGAGCTCAGTGAATCATTGAAGCTCTGCATTGTCATTTCATGAATTAACAAATGTGTAACTAAGTAGACAAATACAGTGACTGCAAGAATCACACACTGGCTCTATGAAAACAGTGAAACAAAAGCAAAGCCCTGTGTTGGGTAGGATTAAAGACTTCTAGGGTCTTAGGAGTACTGGTAGTGATCTAAAGTTAATCTGGCAGGTACATATGCAAAGCTGATATGCAGTCATACTTTGAGGAGGACAGATCAACTAGGAACTCTTTTAATATATGAGGGTGGTAAACAAGGAAAGATTTTAGAGAAGATCACAAAGATTATTCTAATACATATGTGGAGAGTGACAGAGGGTTCATTGGTCAGAAGGTCATACTCATCCATCACAGAGTTGTGTCTCTGGACAGGGCCTCGATGGGCAAGAAGTGTTACTGGTTCTCATACTCTGGATAACTTCGCCTCCATCCAGAGCCTCTCTGTGACCTGTTTACCCAAAGAATGGCACTGAGCATGCTCAGGAACAGGGGCACCTTCAGGAAGACCAGGAGCATGAAATGAATGCTGCTGAACAAGGACCTGTAGGGAACATAATGACAATGAGCCCCTTCACTGGAGGAGGCCCTGGTGCCTGGAATCTTGCCTCTGTCCTTGACTCTGTGGTCCTGTATCCACAGCAAACTGTATAAGGTCCACTCCTGGACAAGGCAGCTTTACCTGAAGGACCCATGTCCCTGACAGGCAGCTTAGGGAGTAGCCTGGAATTAGCACCTCTGCAGGAATAGAAAGGGCAGGACCATGAGAAGGAGGTGAGGGGAGCCCAGGGCTACAGAGGTGAACTGTATTCATGAGCAGGATTCTATCTTGTTCCTTCACATTTGGGGGCTCTCAGCTAGAGTACAGGAGTCAAAAATGTGACTATTAGTTTCATACTTGCTTTCAGAGGGTTGGGGCCTTGTCTCATCACAGCCAATAACTGGTACCCACCCTGGACATGCACAAGGTCAGCTTGAAGAATTCATGGTTATTGGAATGACTGATGGACCCAGTTCAAGTCTATCTACATAGAGAGCTGAGTGTGTCAAAACAAGCTGACACTTCTGATCAGGGAGGAGGAAGGAAGACGAGAGAGTACCAAGGCCACCAGAGCCTAGAGCACCTGTTCCTTCCAGCCTCACCAGGTCCTGGTGAGCAACACATTTGTACTTGCTCTGCTCTCTGCCTGGGATACTTACTCCAGACCTCTGGGTGCCAGGTCCCTCCAACCCTGCAGCCTTCACTCATGTGGCTTCTAATGGTCAGTGCCTCCCCTGATGGTCATGTAGGAGATAACATCCCCACCACCCTCCACATATTTTCCTGACCACTGACAATTGCTTCTTGACACGTTCATCTGGATTCTTGCATTTATATAGAAACTTCTGTGCTGAACTGTGATTGCTAGGTTCAGAAGGGGCCCAGAGGAATGAGACACAGTCCCTTTATCTCCTTTCTCCCAGCCCAGACACACAGTCCAAATGTAGGTCCTTACCGAGGCTGTGGGCTGGGACTGGAGGTGTCCCCTCTGGTAGTGATGAGCGAAGCGTGCACAGACAGAGACAGGGGAGGTCCTGTGGTGCTTGTGATACCCTTAAGGTGCGAGACTGTGGTTGTGGCTGTAGCTGAGAGTGAAACACAGGTTAAGTCCCTCAGTGACATCCCCAGGGTCTCCTACTCACTGTCACCTGTGTGGCCTCCAGGCCTGTGTTCTTACTGAACAAGTCTAATGGCCATACCTAGGTCTGATCAGGGCTGTTATTGTCATTCCTTCAAAAGTTCACCATGGCTATGTGACACTTACAGATATGAGAAATGGTTTGCTAAGCAGGGGGACTTGAGCATTTGCATAGGTACTTGATACAGGGTCTAACTCAATGCCAGCCAAATTTTAGTACTCCCCCTTGATCCTTCCTGGGGACAAACACAATGAGCCTACTTACTCTGCTCGGTCTACTGAAAGACCCATGCCCCTCACTCTGTCCCACTCTGCTGAGCAGAGATTGACACAGAGAAATGGGAAAAACAGGTTCCTGGGGCAGGGGTGATGGCAGAGTGAAGTTTCACATGAACGGGGATGGTAGGGGTATCTGTGATGAATGATGAGACCCTAGAGCCCCACATTAACACCCAGGCCCATGGCCTCAAACAGGCCATTGGACAGTCCTCCTTGGGGAAGGAATAACCAGAAGAAAGATCTCGAGAGACAGAGACCTAATAGACTCCGTGGAGAGTGATCTGACCCACAGCCAGATGGACAGTGATATTCCCTTCAGACACCCAGCAACATCAGTGAACTTTAGTTTCTCACTTTTCAGTATGAACCTGCAAAGGGCTGGGGAAGGAAATTTGCCCTTGGGGAAACTGAAACCAAGAAGCAAAAACTCAGATGAAGAAACTAGAGACAACTTCAGATTTCCAACCCTAAGCATTCTGCCCAGCCCTTAGAGAGGAGTACTGGGTTTGGTTCCCATGAAACTAGGGAGGTTTTGTTAAGGATGATTTGTAGATATGAAGGAGCACTGGGGTCCATAGTAGTGAGAGCCTATAAATAGTCCCTAGAATGGGGAGATAGAGCAACCTAGAGGGGCTGGGCCTGGTCTCCCAAAGAAATAGGAAGTTGCACACAGGAGTCTGAGCTCCTTCTTGTGTTCCTCCAGTGACAACTTAGAAGCCCTGAAGACCCAAACAGTGAGACTGATGTCTCAGAACCATTCAGAGCAGGGAAGTGTCCTCCAAGGCCCAGAACTGAACAACTTTGATAGCAGGGAGTAATGGGACCTGTCCCATTCCAATAGGGGTGTAGAGTCAGGTCCAGGTGAGAAGTGAGGTCCTTTTCAGAAAGGATAAGACCTTAGATAGAACAGTCAGTCAACAAAGAAGTTTGGTCTCAGGGATGGTCCTACCCCATACCTGACAAGGATTCAAGTCTGAGGCTGTCATACTGAGGCCAGTAGAGAATCTCAAACAGCTCAAGTGTTCCCATGGGGCTGTGTGTGTGTGTGTGTGTGTACACAAATGTACATCTATGCACATGTACATACATGCACAGCACAGGACAGACAGGCAGACAGGCAGACAGACAGACAGACAGACACACACACACACACACACACACACACACACACACACACACTGGGTTCTGAGTCACTAACTCATCCAGCCCATTCTCTCCTATTCCAGTATTATTTCAGGGAGGGAGTGACAAGGCATACGCACAGGCAGCTCTGACTCTGATGAGAAGATGCTCACCTGGGAGAACAGACACTATAACATCGACGGTGGGATCTCTTCGCCACGATACATCAACCCCACACTGGTAGGAGCCTGCGTCCTGCAGGGTGAGGTTCTCCAAGGTCACCGTGAAGCTGAGGCTGGCAGGATGGTCCCTGATGGTCGCTCGGCCTTGCCTCACTGCTCTCATTGAGCCTTTAGTCTCCACAATATGGTCACATAGTATCACAAATGATTCTTTGCACCAGTACTTGTTACGTGTCCTGTCTTCCTCGTCATACCAGCACCGCACACTCAGGGATCCTCCCACGGTGCCAGTCACAATGCTGGGACCGCTCAGGAGAAGACAGCCTGGAAAATACAAGCTCCAGTTCTGGACTTCAGAATGGGTGGGGTCAGGGTCTCCTTGCATTAAGGTCCTTCGGGCCCTCAGGTCTGGAGGAGACAGCCAGGGAGACCAGCTGTGCCAGACCCAGGAGTCAGAACTGAGGGATGAGACGCTCCCTCCTCCAAATGTGGGAACAGAGAGAGGGATTTCCATGGAGATGCATAGGGCTAGGTAGGAAAACATTATGTATACATGTGTGTGAGGCTACATGTATGTGTATACCTGTGTGTGTGTGTGTACATGGATGTGTGGGTGCACCTACATGAGAGTGTGAGGCAGGTGCTGGCCGCGCCTGGCCATTCGCCTGCTCTCCCTCCCATCCTTCTTGCCTCACTCACCTTTATCAGCTACACCTTCCCCGCCTCCTGTCCCACCCCTGCCCCCTTCCACTCAGGATGGAGCTTCCCTTCCAGGCTTAGCCCCACTCACCTGGAACCTGCAGGAGGAGCAGAGCCAAAGGCAGCCACAAAGCCATGTCTCCTGGGGACATTTCTCTAGCATTAGCGTCATCTGCACCAGCACCACACCCAGAAGGAGACAGAAGGGGGCCTCCTCACAGAGTTCAGTGAATGTGTCGCCACTTCTCTCCTGCTTCTCTCTGTTTCCTGGTTTACCCTTTCTGGATGTGATACTGGAGATGTGCAGGCTGAAGTAACTCAGGGAGAGAAGCTGCGCGCACTAGTGCTCCTGCCCCTGCACCTCAATGACATTGCCTTCTCTCACTCTCAGCAATTGCGCACATTCAGGGCCCATGTGTTGAAGATGCCACCCCCTTTCCATAGCCCGCAGCTGGTTGCCTAACACCTAAACACACAGACACACGTGAGCGCAGGCATGCACAGCAGGGTTTATGTAAAGTATTTCCCCCTTGGTGGGACCTCCCACCCTCTGTGGTGAGTCACTTCCTTGCTGTTGGGATGGCCTCTTCTGGGTGTGGGAGCCAGAGCTGTTCATTTCTCTAACTCTTGGGACCACAGAGGGACCATGTTCTACCAACATTCAGCTTAGAACCCACTTGGGGTACCAAATTCTTCTGCCTTCACACAACATGTCCAGAGGCAGTGTGAGCCTTAATACTTTCCACAACATCCCACTCTAGTGCCCAGTGTGCAGCTGGGACACAGATCACCCAGGCTGCAGCCTTTTCCTCTGTGTCTCCTACCCCAGATCTAAAAGTGGGGCAGCCATCACTCATGTTGGACGGAGTTTTGGAGAATGGATGAAAGAATGAATCTCGCAGACCTCTAACCTTCAGAGGACTCTGGTAGCCAATACTAACCATTTCCTGTTCAGATTGAGAGAAAAGGCGACAGGATATTCCTGGAGCCCAAGGATCCCCCTGACCCAGAGAGGCATCTAGAATGCCACTTGGCTAGATTGATGTCTCCTATAGAGGGACATTTGCACTTGCCGTTCCCTGAGCTTGGGGCTTTCCTAAGCCACATGTACACACAGTGTGTTCCTCATCCATTCCCAACCCATTCATTTCTAGTCCCAGGTTAAATATGGCCTAGTGACCCCTCATTTTATCTTATTTCAAGTACATGAAATTCTCCACCTCTGACCTTTATGCTTCTTCATGGTGCTGTATGTGTTTTTCTGTTAATTATTTCTATCTGCACAACAGATGGTATGACCCATGAGCACAGGTCTCAGTGTGTTTATTCACTGCCAACCCCTGTGGCATGATCAGTGTTTGGTAAAGGATGAGCTCTCAAGAAGTGGATGCTACGAGAATAAATGGGTGAGGCCATCCAGGACTGGACACCTGGGCCTGCAGGAATCATTAGGGTGGTGAAATTCAGCCATCTTTGGTGTTGGTAAGTTCATCATGGTGTCCTTGGAACTGAAATTGATGAGTAGCCCGTTAAAATCTCCCCTTGTACAAGAGGACAAGGTTGAGATTTAGTAAGTGGAAGCCTGAATGCAATTACAGACCAGAGTATCATGGTCTCCCAGTTAAATTTCAAACTAGGGTTCATGCAATCCTGGTGCTGGTACAAAGGTTGCTTACCTAGGAGCAAGGACATCTTGGAGAGAGTCACCAAATGCTTTGTGCCTTGGTGTATGGACTCCATGCTGGTAAGAACCTGTGTCCTGCAGAGTGAGGCTCTCCAAGGTCACCATGAATGTGAGATTGGCAGGATGGGCCCCGAGGGACACTCAGCCACGCATCAGTTCTTAGCACAGAGGGTCAAGAGTGCTTTTACGCACCAGTAGTTGATGCATGCCCTGCCATCCTCCTCATACAGACACTGTACACTCAGGGATCCCTCGCAGTGCCTGTCACATTGCTGGGACCACTGAGAAGGAAACAGCCTGGAAAACACAAGCCCCTGTTTTGGGCCGTCACACCTGGGCAGGATCAGGGGCAACCCCAGGGTCAGCTCCTCAAGACCTTCAGGTGGCAGAGCAGAGAGACAGGCTTGTCAGACCCAAGAGTGGGGAGTGAGGATGAGGATCATCCTCCTCCAGCGGTGGGAACAGGGACAGAGGTATCCCTGAGATGGGAAGGGGCAAGTGGGAAAACTGCGTGCACATGTGTATGCGTTTGTGTGATTGTGTGTCTGTGCACATGTGTTTATGTCGCTGTGTATAACTGTGTGTGTCTCTATGAGAACATATGCTTGTGCGTATTGAACCAAGATGTCACTCGGATTGTGTGATTATGGCAATGACTCACAGATGTGCCCTCACCAAGCACTGACTCTGTCCTGGGTGCAGGGACCTCAGTTCCCCAGCGCTGTGCACAGCAGCATGGTGGCCAGCCTTGGCTAATCCTCTGCCCTCCTGCCCTGTCTCTTTCCCCCACTGAACTCTATCAGCTGCTCCTTCCCCACCTCCTGTCCCACCCCTGTCCTCTCCTACTTAGGACATAGCTTCCCCTGTCCAAGGCCAACACCACTTGCCTGGGATCTGCAAGAGGAACAGACCCGAAGGCAGCCGCATACCATGTGCCTTGGAGTCATTTCTCTAGCACAGAAGTGATCTTGCCTAAACCAGGGCCAGGAGGGGCCCAAATGGATATACCTCACAGAGAACGCCGTGTCCACATCCCTGCTTCTGCTTTCCTGCCCCTCCCTGTTTCCTGGTCCGTCTATCTTGAGTGTGATGCTCAGTTGGCCAGGATGCAAGATGCCCATAAAGCCACCCAAGCTAGTGCAGAAGACCTGGTTGTCAGCAGCATAGGCTCCTCTCACTCTCAGCAACTGGGCACATCCAGTGCCTGTGTGTTGGGGACCTGTCTCCTTCCCGTAATGCCCAGACTTATAGTCTCACACATACTCCCACACAGCAGAACATAGTCCGAGTGTTTCTCCCTTGGTAGGACCTCTCCACCGCTGGAGATTCCTCACTCCCTTATTGTCAGGATGGACAATCCTCGGGTGGGGCTAGAGCTATTTTCTCTAGCTTTAATGGTGCCAGAGAGGGACTCGATCTGCCCATCTTTTAGCTTAGGCCCCTATAGAAGTGCTCTGACTCCCTCTGATCCCCAGCTCCTCCTTTGGCTTTGCACAGTAGGTCAAGTGGGTGCTGTGACCCCTGACACTTTCTGGCAGAGCATCCTCACTGGGGAGTGGAGTGTGGCAATAGGACAAGAGAAGAATGTAAGGTCTCAGAGTTCAGTGGCAGCGGCTCCACGAACAGGGTCACAAGAAGAAAGGACGTGTACTCTGACAGGGAACTAAGCACAAACCAAGCTTTAATATAGAACATGGAGAGGGCCAGGAAGTTCCCAGGGTGTGTGGATGCACATGTGTTCTAAATACCATAAGACTGTAGGACTTAGCATCCCATTGTCTAGGAGGTTGGATGGAGCAGGACCAGGCCCAGGACCTACTCACTTTTTTCACCAATTAATCACATCTTGTCAAGCTCATCCTCACTTGCAAGTTGCCCTATTGGAAGGATCTGATAATAGTCACTGGCATTCTCGCACCAGACACCACCTCTTTATTTTACTCTATACACGCTTCATCTCTTTTATGTCTTCTCATATGTGTCCATGTATTTTTGCCTTTGTTAACTTTCTTTCTGACTGTTGGAATGTGAGCTCAGTGAGAATAGAGCTCTTTTCTGTTTATTCACTGCTAAACTATAATGCCAGATCATTGCCTGATAGCGCACTGGGGTCCTTCACAGTGAGAGTCCATCTCGGTCCCACTTGTCCCTCTACCTGAGGGGAGGCACTTTCAGGGGATTCTTGGGGTTCCCACCTGTATTTTAAAAAGTGCCAGAGGAAAGGGGGGACAGTTAAGCCTGAAGGCACTAAACGGAGTCCCTTGAGGGAACACAAAGCCCCACACAAGAGCCTGGACTACAATTTTTTGCCTCTGTGGTAGCCACTGAGATACCCTGGGACCACAGCCGTGAATCTGGTCTCTCAGAACCTTCCATAGCAGAAAGCCGTCCACTTAGATAAAGATCGGAGCAGAATGATAGAGGATAGAAGATGCTCTAAGGGTCCTGTTCCCATGGGGAGGATGCAGATAGATCCAGGTGAGACATGTGATACCCTTTAGAGGGAACATGACCATCATGAAGAGTCAGTGAGCAAAGAGTCTTGGGCTCAGGACCAGTTTTGTGCATACTTGGAAGCACTCAGGCCTGAGACTGTCAAAGGCAGGTATACAGAGGGTCTGGAGGAACACAGGTCCTGCACTGTGCCTATGTATGTGTACACACACACAGGGTCACGTGTCAGGGTGTATATGCATACATATGCACACGGTCACAGGCAGACATAACTCACACAGGAACTCTCACACTGGTAAGGGCACACTCATTCACACACACTGTGTCCTGAGTCACTGCCTCACCAAGCCCACTTCTTTCTTAAGGGAGATTTACCCAGCCCTGGAGCTGGCATGAGGAGGTTCTCCTGGCAGCACGGAAGGTAAGATCCTGAGGATACAGTATATTGACCCAACACTGGTAGGAGTCTGCATCCTTCAGGGTGAGGTTCTCCAAGGTCATTGTGAAGCTTCAATTGGCAGAATGGTTCCTGATGGACCCTCAGCCACTCCTCATTCCTCACTGGAATCTTTGGACTCCACAATGTTGACTGATTGCTCATGTAGCACAAGGGATTTTCCGCACCAGTGCTTAGTCATTTGCCTTGAATTTCTCTTTATTGTCATTTGCCTTGAATTTCTCTTTACTGTACACACAGACACTGTACAGTAAAGGAACCCCCCAGAACCTGTTATGACACTGGGGCCTTTCAGAGGAAAACAGTCTGGAAAACACAATCTCCCATTCTGGACCTTCACAGATGGGTGGAGTCAGGTCCTCAGAGTCCTTAATCTGCACGAGGCAGAGGAGGGAGGCCAGCCTTGCCAGACCCAAGAGTCGAGACAGAGGAATGAGGAGCTCCCTCCTCCAGAGGTGAGGACAGAGAGATGGGTGTCCATGGAGATGGGATGGGCCCAGGATGGGAACACACAGGGTATACTCATGTGTTTGTGTGACTGTGTGCATGTGTGTGCATATGTGTGCATGGCTGGGTAGGTGCGCCTTTGTGAGAACACGTGCTTATGTGTGTGTTGGACTGTTGCACTGGATTGTATGATCATGGCTATGAGCATCACAAGCTCTCCTGTCATTCAGCATTGATTCTCTCCAGGATGCAGGAGCCCCAGTTCCCCTGCACTGTGCACTGCAACCTGGTGGCCACTGAGAAGCAAGTACTGGCCACTCTTGGGCACTCCTCTTCCCTCTTCTCTCCTCATGTCACTTGCCTCTATTAGTCACTCCTTCCTCACTTCCTGTCCCACCCCATCTC